TCCCCCGCTTCTTGGTTTCTACCTATATACATATTCACTCGATATCTGCTTTCTTGTCACATTTAACCACCTGCAGCATGCTTTGTAGTGTCATCAGTTATGAGTATCGCTTGCTAAATTGACTTGGCGTATTCCGAATTCGTATTTGCATTCCAAGATTTTCATGCCCAATTTAGATATTTTAACGTTAATCTTACCACTTCGACCATTTACATATGGCGGTTATGTGTTTTCATTTTGAACTATCACCAACTTATACTTTTGTTTTTGACTAAAATTTATAACCCAGACGCAATACTAATGACTGCGACGATTCACCTATTAAAGTCTATTTAAAATTTTTCTTCTTTCTTGCTACATGCGAATAGTAACTTGGGCTGTTGATTGGTAAGACTGATTCGATTATTGGTCCCATAGGTACTAATAATGCCATAGTTAAAGGCAAGTCTCCTCCCATCTCAAGCTGACACGCTCATTGAATGCCCTTCAAATTAATTTGATCAACGCATACTAATCTTAAGCCTTGAACGATTTATAATTGTTTTTCAATGACTTGTGACAAGGATTGATACAGGGATTATAAGGCTATCAGTATAAAAGTAATATTTAATCTAATTTACTGTCTCAAGATGCATTCTATATTAATCCTGACATAAAAATGACCTTTTTCACACTTGCTGAGAGAATGGATACAGGATCTCGCCAGGAAGACAGTCAAATCAGGCACCGAACGTACGGTTTATAAGGACCCAAGACTAAACCAACCCAGATATTTTGGGTCACAAACTTAGTGACATTAAACCGACCTATATAATTTACAATCGCCTACTTTCCGCAGAATATTGCACTTCACATGCCCGACTGATCCCTGGAGTACAAGTTTGGTTTAAGGAATCTCTAGGTTTATACGCGATGAGCATGCTTGCATTTCGAGTAAGAATGCATGACGTAGAGATTCGAAGGTCGATCTCACTAAGAGACGACGGCTGGTCAGCTGTTGATTGGCTTTACTGAAACATTCTTGCCGACGCTTTTTCCGAGGGAATCATGTTCGATTCGGGTCAAAACTTGCTAAGCACTCGTCCGTCAGGGCAAGATATCATTCTTACGACCACATCCAAGTTGAGCCAAGAAGATTGACCAGGTCATCCTACACATAATTTACTTATATGCTCTTCGATGAGGAATAAGGCGATTCGGTTGGATCAAATTATGCCAATCTCGAGCATGCGATCCTCCTATGCTTGCTCTCAGTGCTATTCACAATTAAAATGACCCAGGTCAAGGCTTCACAGTATTACTGCCAACTTCATAAAATCGAGTTTCCCCCAACAGGACGCGTATCAAATTATACGCGACTACACCCTATCAAACACTCCCCCGATCAACGGTGCAGCATTTGTGCGAAGACTCGAAATTGGCTGCAAGTCAGGTTTCTATATATGTAATCTGGTTACTAAGGGACCGATGGCCATTTATATTCTGCAGTATATTGTGACAGCATGTGATAAGCTGTGGTTTCGAAATAAGTCCACATGATGAATGTCGATCATAGGCCCAATACAGTATATAATACACACCGCAAAGCTACCGGCGACGGAAATAGCAACACATGCCCCTGCGATTTAAGGTACATAGTCGATCCTTCGGAAGTATCAGGAATTTTCGAATGGTTCTATCTTACGCCGTAGGGATTCCGAATCAGCACACGAGGCTAACCGAGAAATCAGCAGATAGCTCGGCCGGGCGTTTTATCGGACAAGGCAATATAAGCTTGAGTTGTTCCCTAGCAAACGAAACGTCTAACACAGTTCTGAAGCATGGACAGGCGAAAAATATTATTTTCGTGAGTTATTTTCCAAAATCTAATAAAGGAGCATTTTGTATGAATTTAAAGGAACGCAACTGAAAAATTTGTTAATCAGCGGCGAGGTGAGACCTAAGGTGTTTATGAATAAAATGTATGATCCAGATCGAAGATAAAAGAAATTAATTCAGATTATAAGTTGCTCCAAGGATTCAATTTAAGTTAAGCCCTTGAGTACATATTCATATTTTTAAAAAATCTTGCTGATACTTTTTACAACAAGAGAAATTGCCAATGACGTGCATATGGTTCTACCGGTATCCCGGTGGGGGTGGCGGATACATTGCGGCGGAGGGAGGCGCACCACGCCCATACCCGGGTGGAGGGGGCATCCCAGGCATTCCAGGCAATGGAGCACGGGGCTGCATAAGCCCCGGAGCGGGAGCACCAACACCATAGGCAGGTGCTGCGAGACCTGCTGGAGGCATCATTCCTGGAACTGGTGGCCCAGCAGTAGGGATCATTCCACGACCTACAGCCCGACCCGCCCCAAGACCACCAGACATACTTGCGCCAGAACCCCAAGCGGCTGAACCAGGGTGAGGGACTCTTGGGTTGTCTTCAGGGGGTGGGGGACCGTCGACGTTCATACTAACCTAAAATTTGAAAAAATAAACAATGATTCGCACACCGACCAACAATGGATGAGCGTATAAATGGAAATGTGGGAAGGCCTACGACATGCTCCCCGCGAAGTAGAAGAAGTCCAAGAGAGCGCTTCTCTAATTTTTCTTCCTTAGTCGTTCTGTTTCTCACGACTCTGAATTCATCGCAATCGCAAAACACTAGATTCATGTGCCTATCAAATGCTTTGAATGTGCCTACGAGCTGGCGACCATCTTGAAGAGTACATCTAACTCTGTGATTAAGTACTTGAGTGATTTTTGCATTCTTACCACCTGGCTAAATAGGGAAAATAATGGAGAAGTAAATCAAACCATGATTAGCGGGGACGAAAATTCGAAAGCAGCTCTTATGGATAAAGGAACGAATAAACCGCATGCACACAAAAATACCACTCCACTCTATTGTAATAAATTGATCATAAATAATTTATTTTTTATAAATATTAAAAATCTGGACTTCTCAAATTTTTAATATTTTTACATAAGTATCATAAATACATGTCAATTTTAAATAATAGTGTGAATAATAATTGGGTTATGATGAATCTCCAAAGATACTTATGTTGGGGATACTTTCATTTCATATAACACTACATGATTAGATTCGGAGGGCGATATCACTAGTAGATGATGGCTTATTTTGATTGTTCTGCAGCCGTTTAGCTGTACTTCGTTGACTCAGTCTGCGAGCTATCCTATCTCTTTTCAGTTGAAAGCGGGCTGACCTTACAGTGGACGTTTACTGTCCAACTCCTGCATGCAATGGACTCTGGACTAGGTGCGTTTCTCTAGGTCTTCCTACCAATATGACTAAGTAACGAAAACAAGGTCAAACAACTTCTATACTACGAGAGAAGATTGAGACCACACAAAAGGCCACACCATCTTGGTCTTCATACCTTTGATTAAATTATATTTATTGCCATAGAAATAACTGGTTTGCTCCGTCTACAAGTCTAGCATAAATTTTAGTTAGGAGAAGCCTGTTTTGCATTGAATATCAACCCTGCCCTGTGACACATTGGCACTCGTGGCTAAACAGTGAAGTAGTAGTGTTACATCGATACTCACAGCTTGCTATCGAATCCCGTTACGCGGGCTGATCAGACCTAGTAAAGATCGAGCCTGCAGTCCATCCTGGTTGTAAAGACCTCTAGGGCGACAATTCTAAGTTAACTTAAATTATATTATGTGGCCTACGCTTATCATCGTGATAAAATTCATCAATCCATAACTCGCCGTAAGTCTTATGCTCCGTATAATCATAGATTTTAAAACGCTAACCTTTGTATATATAACTACGGCTGGATAAAAAATTAGGTATAAAGTCAGCGTGCGTTG